TCCGGGTGCTGGGGGTGTGTATCCTGCCGACGGTAGCGCCCACACAGATGATCTTCGCCGTGGCCGTCCTCGACGCCTTCGTGCTGCTCTTTGTCCTGGCGCTGGCGTCCTCCATCCTGCTTGTGTCGTTCGCCATGACCATCCTGTTTGGGGGGCCGTCCCTCCTGGTGCCGAGGCTGTTTATCGGCAGCCCGGTGAGGACGTCGCCCCTCTTGCTGATGCCGTTCGACATCATCTACCTGCTGGTGGTGCCGTCGGTTGTGGTCGTCTTCGCGTTCCTGGCCAGTGGTCCTGGCCGTCCTGAGTCCCGGTACTGTGGGTGGCCTTGGGCGAAGTGCCTGTTCTTTTTCGCCTGCCTGGTGCTTCTTATGCTGGCGTCGACTCGGGCCTCTGGAGGGAATCGCTGCCGCGGGTGCCTGACCTCCCCGCAATGCTTTCGGGACAGCACATGCGACACACGTGCAAGTCGACGTGCCCCTTGCTTCATGTATACCTCTCGGCGGCAATGGCCACGACACCCGTCCGACCTGATACGATCACCTTCCGTATTGTTTCTCGCAGGCCGCAGTTCGGCATCCGATCCACAGGTTTCCGCCTTCAGCGGCCATGCCTTGAGCCCGCAGGTCTTGCAGGTACGGGCGTGCGCGCGCGTGCGGTGGCAGGCCTGCTGCGGCACCGCGCCGTGATTTTTATTTGCTCATCTTCGGGTTCCTGGGCGCGTGACAGCACGGCACGGCAGGGGCACGGCAGGGGGGCACGGCACACGCCGCGCCCCTTTGCCCTCCAGAGCCTGGCCGGGGGACGGCGGTCGGCACGGCACGGCAGGGCGCGGCACGGCACGGCGCATTTCTTCAGCGCATTTGTCTCTCGTTGGTTGCTCTTCGCGCGTGCCGAAGGGCACGGTCGGACCGAGGCATAGGATCGGGGTCGGCTCGGGAGGGGTACCCTGGTGTTTTTCGATCTCGTGGGAAGCGCTAGTGCCTCCTCGGGGAGGGCAGCCTCGAATGTTCTTCAAGCTTAGGCTATCGGAGAGAGTCTCATCGCAGGCGCTGTTTCTCCCCCCAACCTCCCGTTCTCCGACGAACGGTGAAGCCGTTCAGAAGGGAGGGACACCTCGGGACACCCCCCATGGGGCTGTTCGGACGCACCCCTCTGTCGAGGGCGAACGCCCCCCCTCCAGCCATCGCATGGCCCAGGGCCGGGCCCCGACTTCTGGCCCACTCGAAGACACCACGAAGCCCGGGAGAGGGGTCGACACATCCCCTGGCCCTGCTCGCATGCTGCAGTCGGCCCTGATCGGCAGGTCGACCCTGCCAAATCGAGGGTGCCCCTGCGTCCTGTGTCTTGCGGCCCATGCCTCCCGCAGTCCTACGGGGCAACGTGGCCCTCGGAAGGGCCTTCTCTCCTCTCATGTGCTGCCCGATCAGGGCCGACCGGAGAGCCTGGGCGCGGTTCGGCACGGCACGCGGCCGTGGCACGGCATGGCCCGGCGTGCCGGCGGTGGACGCTTCGGGCTCTCTCGGCGGGCCGTCGTCACGCAATTCATAGGGGAGCCTCGGGAACCCATTTGGCGAGTTTGGAAATATAAGTGTGCGAGTCAGTCCGTTGTGAAAGCAGGCATTCGCAATTTTGAGTCGTTTCGGATTCATGCTTGTTTTCTAAATGAAACAGCGCATCACTTGTCTGTATAGCAGTTTGTCGCTGTAGCGTTGAATCCTTCGGAACCATCACAAGTTTTCATACCCCCCACCTCTACTTCTCTAGAGTTTCCCTGGCGGGTCCTGATTCGGGCCTTTTCCGCCCGTCCCGTGGCGGTTCGTTCGGTCGAACATCAGGGGGCGGGCGCGAGCGTGGTTTTCGTTGCAGTTGCGTGCCTGCCTGTCGGGCCCACGCCATGGATGAGAGGGGCTGCGGAGGCACAGCGAACGTTCGTTTGGCGTCTCCCGCGCGTCCCACGCATGCGCTCTGGCGGCGTGCGCCCTGGCTGCCCGGAAGGCTGCCGAGGCCTTTGTGGTTCCGTTTTTTCGGTGGCAAAACTCGGGTATTCAGGCGTGGTCTCTTCTTCCAGCGCGTCGCGCTGCCCTCCGGTTTTGCCCGGCGAGCCCGTCCCCGCGGCGGGTCGGCCGGGGCGGCGCTTGTGGAATTCCGACGCGTCCATAGGCGGCCGCCCAGCCTTGTGATCTAAAGGCGCCCGGACACTTAAAACCAACGCGGTCTAGGAGGGGCTTCGAGCAGTGGCGAAGCGTCCTGGCTCGCCTATAGCCCCACCAAACAATGTTCTAATAACCTCTTGTGGTTCCCACGAAATGTTTTTAGAACATTTTTGGCGGAGTCTGCCTTGGTTTAACATATCGGGTTTATGTTCTAAGAACGTTGTTTTTGTTCTTAGAGCATGTTTGGGTTCTAAGAACATTTCTTGGTAGGACTCTAGGAATGCCGGGACGGTCGGTCCCTGTTCAGTGTCAATGCGCGACATGCGGGACTTAACTCAAAACATCTAGACGATTGATTCCCTTTGCTCTAGAAGGGTGTCCTCGCCGGACATGTCTCTTGTCTGGACGTGGCGGTTTCGGGCGGGTTCCGCTCCAGCGTTCGGCGGGCCGTTCCAGGTCGTTTCGGGGGGCCGCGCGATTGCCGTGGCGTCCGCGGACGTGGGCACCTTTTTTTCCGAGGCGGCGCGGGAGGCGGCCGTGCGACTTGCGCGCATTGAAACAAGATGGAATGCGCCGAGTCCGAACACGGCTGGAGCATTTTCCAGAGGTGCCGCAGGGTCGCGGCGCAATGTCACAGGATCCCTTGCATGTCCACGACTGCGGCGCGGAATGCCTCATCAGCACGCTGCACCTGTTGTCGCTCGTTCTGGTGATGGGGTGGGCCTGCGATGAATCGCGTTCGTGCGTCTTGTGCAGGGGTGCCTCCTGCCCGAACAGAAACTGCAATGCTATTTTATAGAGGGGTACTGTAGGGGCGGGGGGCCTAAACTTTTGATCATAGGAATCCTTGCGGAATCCGCCCGAGCCCTAAGGGAATGTTTAGGCATCCCTGAGGAATCCTTTGGAATCCCTAGGGAGCCCTTTGGAATCCCGAAGGGATCCTCTGGAATCCCTCGGGAAGCTGGAGGAATCTTTTTTTAGAATCCTTAGGAATTCTTTACGTTTCGCCAGGGCCTGCCATCGGTTGAGAGCCATGGGGGTCTTGCACCTGGCGGCCGAGAAACGGCCTGCCAGGGGTTTTGCGCCACGGGTTGCGCACTCGTCGGCCTTGAACAAAAACGACCGCCCTCACAAGCGCGACCGGTCCAGTCAGTGAGTCCAGTTCATATCGCGACAGACAAGTTCGGGCCACGCACGAATACAGGTACGAGGGACGAGTGGGCATGGCCAGATGACATCATGAGCAGCGTGCGAGGGGAGCACATGCGGATCACAGCCCCAGATGGAAACAATAAGTGGAGGGGAAGCACAAAGGGATCCGTTGCGGGGGGATCGAACGCCTTGTGGATTTCTGGAGGCCATTCTGGGCGTCCTCGCCGAGCACCGAGGAATCGGGGTTGTTTTTGTTGCTTTCTGTGGATATCCTAGGGTTCCCTCGTCGCAGGGTTCCCTCGTCGCCACGGTCGAACCCGCTTTGGAACGCGCTCCAAGACAGGTTCGGCAACGCATCCGTATCAACTGGGGCCCGAGGCCATGCTGCTTGCTGGAGCGTCCGTGTTCTCGCGGAGCAAGCGGACGCAATCCGCCCTGTTTGCCAGATCTTTCGCGCGAGGCCCGGCAGCCCGCGTGCGATGGCACGCGCAAGCGCACGCCACGGTGCCGGAGGCTGCCGGAGAGGTGACCCTGGCTTCTTCGGGGAGGTCCAGATGGCCTCCGCACGTCCCCCTGCTCGAGGCCCAGAGCCGAGGGGGGAGAAACCACCCAGACCCCGACGATTGGCGTTTTCTAATTCGACGGCCTTTGGCGTTTACTAAGCAGCCCTGCCCTCTTCGATTCCTTCCCCGGGCGCGTTTACTAAACGGCTTCGCTTGTCGGGGTGGTTGTGATGGGGGGGATTTTCTGTCCTCCACAGACAAGCCCTGGGGGGCCCAGAATGACGCGAAAAGTTGGGGGCGTCTTGGGCCAGGGTCACCGATTGCAACCTTCCGCGACCAATTTCGAAGCCTGCCCCTGCGGGTCCAACCAGTGAGGGGTTAACGGACAACCCCGCTGGGGTTCACCTGGCTGCAACGATCTTTCGCGTTCTTACCCCAGGCCGTTTTTCGTTCCTCCGAAATTTGACCTGCAGGGATCCCAGAAATGCGATGTCCTGATTTTTTTAATGCGCGGTCCTCGGAAGTTCCCCCCTATCAGTGCTTGCACTGAAGGGGTCCTAGCGGATATTGAAAGATTTGGCGAAAGTCCCGGGCCGATTTCGGTAGCCGGCTGGGTTCCCGGGTTCCCGGTTCCGGGTTCCCGGGTTCCCAGTTGTTGTTTCTGGGCCGATGTCGGGTGCATTTTTCTTTCGGCGAGGACCATCAAGGAGCATCGTTGATCATTTGGCGAAAGAGCCACGCACGAAACCGAGCAAAAACAGGGAATGGGCTTCCGAGCGATGGCGAGTATCGGGCATACTCTTCTGGCGGCCCCCGGGCCGGGCGGTGGCCTCCCGTCGGGGACGGCGCGAGCACATGTCCGGGATGCTTGGCATCGCTCGGACGTGTGCCTGTTTTCATCGGCGAGGACCATCGAGGAGCATCCTGGACCATCAAGCGAGCAAAAACACGCACGACATCGAAAAGTGCACGGTGGATGGACGTCCGAACGACGGCAAGGATGGGGTCCCAGTGTGGTTGCGCGTGGGCCCCCGAAGAGCATGAAGCCGGGCCTGTCCCCGTACAGGGGGAATGTTCAAGAATAGTCCCAAATTCGTCAGGTGAGGATTTATGGATCATTCTTGATCCTTCTGGGCGTATCTTGTTTGCCTATCTTCTGAGCTCGTCGTGCGAGCTCCGCCTGCAGGGGGACATGCCCGACCGAACACTACACCGCATGCCTGCCGCGGCAGCCGGCGAGGCCGGGGCGGCGGAGCGTGGCCACCCGCTGGGCGCGCGGGTGCGGGCCAGAGGCCGCGGAGGCAGGGACCGGCAGGCGCCAGTGCCACCGCGGCGGGCGCCGAGAGGAGCAGGAGGCTCGGAGGAGGAGCAGGTTTGCCCTGAAGTCGGGCACGTCCCTCTCTACGGGAGGAATCTCCGAACATGGTGCAAAAAGGAGTGTGGGGACGACAGTTTTGGCATGTTTGGGCATGTGCTGGTAGATCTTCAACCATAGTTGTAACATTTCACCCAAAACCTGCCTGCAGGGGGACACGCCCGACCTCAAACAGAGGTTCACCTGCACCGCTCTTGCCTTCCCCCGTGTTCGCCTCTTTGGGGCCTGCTGGGAGGGCCCCGTCGCCACCGCTGGATTCGCCTCCAAGGCCTGGCCAGAACGCGCCCCGGGAGGGCTTCGGGGAATTTGCGGCATGTCGATGCCTCTCTGTTGGGCTCCCCGCGAGGCGCTGGACTCTGCCGCCCTGCGGGGCCCCCCCCCTCGAGCTCGTGCCGGCGAGGGCCGCGCCGACCGCGCGGGAGGTCGGCCGCCCCCGTGCGAGAGGGCGCGCTCCCCCCGCGCCGCTCGGGGCGGGGCCGGCGCCCGTCTGCCTTCGGAAGCGCGAGGGAGCTTCTGCTCACCCGCGGCTCCGACCTCGCCGTGGTCATCGGCTGGTCGGGCGCCGCAGGCGGGGGCGACTCCGCCGCGGCGGCGCGGGTGCTGTTAGGGAGGCGCGCGTTCGCTGCCGTCGGTCCCCGCAGCCGGGGTTCGAGGTCGTCCGGCTCGTCTCCCGGGGCCAGGGATCCCCGCCTTTGAGCCTGCGCCTCGACGGCGGCGTGGACGTGCACCTCTCTTGCCACAACACGGAGGCCGCTGCGGAACTCGCAGCTGCCCCGCGCCTGCACACGAATTACGCAGAGGTAAGCCCGCTGGCGCGGGGCCTGGCGCCTGTCGCTGCTGGTGAGCTCCAGTCCAAGACCGCCGGCGTCTGCGGGGCGCAGGGCAAGCACCCGACCTTCTGTGCTCTCAGGTGCTCAGGGCGCTCTACTCCCTTCAGGCCTACCCCTTCGGGAGCAAATCCTGGGAGCCTCGCGTACCTTCGTCATCACGTCTTCAGCGCCGAGCTGCCGCCGAACGGTCGTCTCGGTGCGGCTCCCAAATCCGGTTGTGGGAGGACATGTCCGAGAGCCTGTTTTTTTTGATTCAGGCAAGTTTACTTGCATGGCGTTCGCCCCCCCCCCCCCCCCCCCCCTCCGCCCCTCTTCAAGCGAATACTAGCGTGCAAGTGACTTTCGACTGGCGTGATTTCCGCGCCCCCCCGAACGTGCCAGTCGTTTGCGGCTTGCTTCAGGCTCAGCCCCCCCCCCCCGTCCATGCAAGTCAATTTGCCCGAATCTAAAGAAAAACAGGCTCCGAGCCCGAGCCCATGCCCCCTGCTGGTCCACTCCTCCCGGCGGCGCAGGGGCCCGGCGCGGGGCGGCGCCTCCCCGGTGGTGGAGGGGGCGCGCCGGCCGTCGACCTGCGCCGTGCGGGCCGATCGCCTGGGCCCAGGGGCGGTGGGGCAGAGAGCCCCACCCCATGGATGATGGCAGGGGAAGGACAAGGGGCATGCATAGAATGATGCCAGAGGAACGCCCCAATGGAAAGACTTTCTTACGGCTAGAGGGCTATAGAGCCATTGGGCTATAGGGCGATGGGGCCATGGGGCAATAGGGCTTTGGAACTATAGGGCCATAGGGCTACAGGTATATAGGGCTCTAGGGCCATAGGTCTATAGGTCTATGGGGCTATGGGGCTAAAGGGCCATAGGGCTACATGGCAGTAGGTCTATGGGGCTCTGGGGCTATAGGACCACTGGGCTATACGGCTATATGGATATAGGGCTATGGTGTTATAGGGCTATATGACTATAGGGCTATAGGACTTCAGGGATATAGGGATATGGGGCTATAGTGCTATGAAACAATGGGCATATGTAATTATAGGGCTGTAGGGCTATAAGGCTACATGGCTATAGGGCTATAAGGCTATAAGGTCATAGGGCCATAGGGCTATGTGTATACAGGACTATAGGGCTATTGGGTTATAGGGTTATAGGGCTATGGGGGCTATAGGGCTATAGGAATATAGAGCTATAGGGCTCTGGGGCTTCAGGACCATAGGGCTATAGAGCTATAGGGCTCTACGGCCATAGGACTATAGGGCTATAAGGCTATAAGGCTATACGGCTATCGGACTATAGGGCTATAGGACTATTGTGATATGGGGCTATAAGGCTAAAGGGGTATAGGGCTATAGGGCTATAGCGCTATAAGGCACCTGGGGACCCGGCCACCAGGGCGGGCCGCGGAAATTGGTGACACACCTCACCTACCCACATGAATCCGGTAGGACCCCTACACTGATTGGGGAAAAACTTGGAGGTCCGCGCGGAGTTCTCGGACCGGCGCTGGGGACCCCTGGCGGCGCCTCCGGCGCTGCCCCTGGCGCGCTCCGCGCGCCAGGGAAGGGGGACCAGTTCGGATCCCAGAAATCCGCGCGGACCTCAGAGTTTTTATGTCTATGTCATTCTTCGTTCCCCTCAAAACAAGGCACCATGGATCTCAGACGAAATGCACAGGATGTCTCAGGTCTGTTTTTTTTTCTGAGGATCTCCAAAGAGGTTTCCCGAGAGGGACCAACGTGCCCCATGTCACAACAGTGTTTCACAGGAATTGTGCTCTTCCCACATCTCTGAAGAGGCCGTCCAGAAGGATCACGGAGGCTCTGGAGGGCCGCTCATGACGACCGATCCGGGCATCCCAACGTCGACATCTCCAGGGGCACAGCAGCATCCTGCCTGGGCCCCGAACTCCATGATCCCCAGGGGACTGCTCTCACCGGCATGGGGCTGTGCCTTTGCCTGAGGCCCCGCCCGCCCGCGCCCTGTCTCCCCAATTACTGCTCTGCGCGGCCCCCCTAGCTCTGAACCGGAAGAGGCTCGCTCTCGACCCGCAGACCAAAAGTGGGGCCCTGCCCCTCGTCCTGGCCTCCTCATCGGGGGGCTCGCCGGCGCCAGCGGGGCCTCAGGGGGCCCGCCGCGCGGGGGGCTCTCGGTGCGCCGCCGCTCCAGGGCAGCCGCAGGGGGCGGGGGGGGGATGTGCTCTCGGGAGCCCGCCCGAAACGCAGCGCGGGGAAGGGCACTTCTGTCGCCCTCCTCCTCCTCCCCCTGCTCCCTCCCCCTCCTCCTCCCCCTCCTCCTCCTCCTCCTCCTCCTCCTCCTCCTCCTCCTCCTCCTCCTCCTCCTCCTCCTCCTTAGGCGTTCCCTCCCACGGTAGAGCACCTCGCTCCAAGCCGTCCTTCCTCTTCCGCTGACCCTGCCTCGTGTGCCCAGCCCTGGTTCTGCCTCTTTCGCCTCTTCTGCGGGCCATACTCATATCCATATCCGGTGCGTCTTGGACGTTATTGGAAGGGGCGCCGCAAGGCCGAGGCGGACCCGATATGGATAAAAATCGTGCCGCTGGGGCCAGGATCCCATTCGCTTTGAGGGAGGAGGAGGAGGAGGAGGAGGAGGAGGAGGAGGAGGAGGGAGGAGGAGGAGGAGGAGGAGGAGGAGGAGGAGGAGGAGGAGGAGGAGGAGGAGGGGGAGGAGGAGGAGGAGGAGGGGGAGTTTTTTGGGGGGAAGAGAGCCCGAACCTCCAAGACGCACTGGATGTGGAAATAGACATTGCCCGCATGATCCGCCCAGAGAGGACACGCTGGGGAGCAGTCTGCCCCCTCGTGACGTTTAAAAAACGGACCCGCTGTCGTCACCAGGGGGCTGCGCAGAGCTTGCCAGCGTCGGAAAAGCACTGCCGGCTCCACCCGACAGCGCCTCAGTAATCTGCACGAGGGGCAACACCCTGTTCTGATGCCGATGCATTTGCAGCATGTGCCTCGACCTCTGCTATCTGTCCACTTTGCTTTATACCAACCAGCCGATTTGAGTGATGGCTCGGTCCTTACGCGATTGCACGACTGCCTTGCCTCCGGTTCTCTTTTATCGTCCCCCTTTCTCATGAGAGCGATTTGCTTGCAGTTGTCGTTGGGCGTAGCTAGATTCTTTCACTGGCATTGTCGCTATGTTTTCTCTTCGCAAAGTCTGATTTGCATTCTGTGTAATGCTTCAGATTAGGTGTGTAACTGGGGCACCAGCACGGTTCTGCCTTCCCAGCATGCCTTGGCAGAGCGAGCCGTTTCACCCCTGCGATGCTGCGCAGCCTGGTCTATTCTCATGTCACAGGCGAAGAACGGTATAACATTAACTTTTTCGCTGTCGGGGGCGCCTGTCCCAGGGCGGCTGGAAAGTTTATGCCCTTACGGTGGCACGTCAAGGAATAACAGCGCTTCCGCGACGGAACAGTTTACTTTACACCGTTCTTCGCCCGCTAGTTCATACTCTGTTTTTTCATGCAGGGTGAAGTCAGGGTCACCCGCATCGATGCTGCTCACCCGCGTGCGCGGTTGGCGAAGGCCTCCGTGCAGCCAGTGCAGCCTCGGAGCCTCTCTCAGCCGGCCTCTGGGCTCCTGGCCTCCTGGATGGAGCAGATGGGGTCGGAGGATGATGCAGCGCCGATGCATCGCCGATGCTGCTCGATGTGGAGCCCGACTTGCTTCCAGTCGATGTCGCCGATGCATCGCCGACGTCGACGATGCATCGCCAGTGCATCGCCGACGCATCGCCGATGCATCGCCGGTGCATCGCCGATGTCTCGGCGATGCGGCGCCGATCCTCCGACCCCACCTACTCCGACCCCATCTAGGATTCGGTCGGGCTTGTTTTTCTACAGGCGTATTTTGGGAGAAAAATGCAGCATAGTCCAGAAATGCTCAAGGATGGTCAAGAGTAGTCGGAACATCGTCCCCAGACTGTTTTTTTCTGACCGTTTTTGAAGCTCCCTCCTCTAGAGGGACATGCCCGACTCGAATCTGGGAGGCATCTCTATCGGCCCCCCTCCTCGGGAGGAGCCAAAGTGGCCAAGGGTGCTGGCGGGCTCGGTGATGACAGGACTCCTCGTCGGTCCTGCGAACCCCTCCCCGTCATCACGCAACGCCCCCTCGCTCCTCTTCCCCGCTGCTCCTCCTCACTCCTCCTCCCTCCCTCCCTCCCTCACTCCTCCTCCCTCTCCCGCGGAGCCCCCTCCCTCCCTCTCTCCTCCTCCCTCCCCCGCGGAGCCCCCTCCCTCCCTCACTCCTCCTTCCTCCCTCCCTCACTCCTCCTTCCTCCCTTCCTCCCTCCTCCTCCCTGCCTCCCTCCCTCCTCCCTCCCTCCATCCCTCCCTCCCCGGCCCCCCGCGGAAGCCCCCTCCCCGGGCCTTCTGCTGGCGGCCCTTGCCGGCGCCGCGGCCATGGGGGCCCCGCGAGGGCCCTACGGCCCCCATGCTCGGCGGCGGGCCCCGTTGCTGGGGGGGGGGGCCTCGGGGGCGGCCGAGGGGGGGGGGGAGGACTTCCTCCTCCTTTTCGTCGTCCTCCTCCTCCTCCTCCTCCTCCTCCTCCTCCTCCTCCTCCTCCTCCTCCCCTTCGTCCTAGAGGAAGCACAGACAGCAAGCAGGCCGTTCCGGCACGGTGGCCGAGGGGTAATGGCGGCGAAGAGAGGGGTGGTGACTAGGGGGCGGGGATATCATGGCGACAAAAATACTTTCCCCGGGAAAATCTAACATTCCCCGGGAAAATCGAACATTCCCCGGGACAACCCTTCCCACGCTTGATTCCCAGGTAGAATCTGTGAGAGACTTTTGAGAGGCTTCTGATTGGGTTTCTGAGAGTATTCTATGAGGCTTCTGAGAGGCTTCTGAGAGTACTCTATGAGGCTTCTGAGAGGCTTCTGAATGGGTTTCTGAGAGGCTTCTGAGAGGCTTCCGAGAGGCTTCTGAATGGGTTTCTGGGAGGCTTCCGAGAGGCTTCTGAATGGGTTTCTTGGAGGCTTCCGAGAGGCTTGTGAATGGGTTTCTGAGAGTATTCTGCGAGGCTTCTGAATGGGTTTCTGAGAGGCTTCCGAGAGGCTTCTGAATGGGTTTCTGGGAGGCTTCCGAGAGGCTTGTGAATGGGTTTCTGAGAGGCTTCTGAGAGGCTTGTGAATGGGTTTCTGGAAGGCTTCTGAGAGGCTTCTGCGAAGCTTCTGAGTGGCTTCTGAGTGGCTTCTGAGAGGCTTCTGAGGGGCTTCCGAGAGGCTTCTGGATGGGTTTCTGGGAGGCTTCCGAGAGGCTTGTGAATGGGTTTCTGGGAGGCTTCCGAGAAGCTTGTGAATGGGTTTCTGAGAGCTTTCTGAAAGGCTTCTGCCAAGCTTCTGCGAGGCTTATGAGAGGCTTCTGCGAGGCTTCTGAGAGGCTTCTGAGAGGCTTCTGCATGGATTTCTGACAGTATTATGAGAGGCTTCTGAATGGGTTTCTGAGAGGCTTCCGAGAGGCTTTTGAATGGGTTTCTGAGAGGCTTCCGAGAGGCTTCTGAATGGGTTTTTTTGGAGGCTTCCGAGAGGCTTGTGAATGGGTTTCTGAGAGGCTTCTGAGAGGCTTGTGAATGGGTTTCTGAAAGGCTTCTGAGAGGCGTGTGAGAGGCTTCTGAGTGGCTTCTGAGAGGCTTCTGAGGGGCTTCCGAGAGGTTTCTGAATGGGTTTCTGGGAGGCTTCCGAGAGGCTTGTGAATGGGTTTCTGAGAGGCTTCCGAGAGGCTTCTGCGGGGTTTCTGCGAGGTTTATGAGAAGCTTCTGCGAGGCTTCTGAGAGGCTTCTGAGAGGCTTCTGAGTGGCTTCTGAGAGGCTTCTGAGAGGCTTCTGAATGGCTTCTGAATGGGTTTCTGAGAGGCTTCCGAGAGGCTCCTGAATGGGTTTCTGGAAGGCTTCCGACGGGCCCCTCGCCCTCGTCGCCGTCGCCGTCGTCGTTCCCGCCGATGTGCGTTTCGGTTTACAGTTTTTCGTTGTTTTCGGACCGTGCAGGCCATGTTCGGGCCGCGGGGCCTGAAACATGTCCCAAGGGTGCAAAACCGCGTCGGACGGCCCGCCCGCCGGTTCGGTTCGGCCAGGACGAGAAAAACAACGATGAGGAGGAGGAGGAGAAACACTATTACTACTACGACTACGAGTAATACGGCTACTACTACTACTACTGCTGCTACTACTACCACTACTACTACTACTATTACTACTACTACTACTACTATTACTACTACTACTACTACGACTAATATTCCTACTACTACTACTACTACTTCTACTACTACTACTACTACTACTACTGCTAGTACTAGTACTAGTACTACTACTACTACTACTACTACTACTACTTCCACTCCTACTCCTACTCCTACTACTACTACTACTACTACTACCACAAATAACTAACTACTACTATTACTACTACTACGACTACTACTACTACTACTACGACTACCTACTATTACTACTACTACTACCACTACTACTATACTACTACTACTACTACTACTACAACCACTCTTGCTATTACTACTACCTACTACTACTAACTAATACTACTACACTACTACTACGACGACTCTACCACCATACTGCTACTACTACTGCTACTACTACGACTACTCTACTAGTGCTCCTACTACTACTACATTACTTACTATTACCAACTACTAACTACTACTACTACTACTACTACTGCTGCTGCTACTACTACTACTACTACTACCTACTACTACTACTGCTACTACTACTACTACTGCTACTACTACTACTACTACTACGACTACTACTACTACTACTACTACTAGTACCACTACTACTTCTTCTACTGCTGCTACTACTACTACTGCTACTACTGCTGCTACTGCTACTACTACCAATAAGACTACTACTACTACTATTGCTACTACTACGATAACTACTACGAGTACTACTACTACTGCTACTACCACCACTATTTCTACTACTACTACTACTACCACTACTACTACTACTACTACTACTATTACTACTACTACTACTACTACTACTA